ATCACACGTAAAATATAATTGCAGTTGCTCATTAATTCGGGAAGGAGGTATGAATGCAAAAAGAAGGAAATAGAAGATGAGATAAAGAAGAGACTTGGCGCCAAAATTGAAGATGAAGCCAAAGACGACCACGATGACTGTGTCCGAATCACTAAGAATCGGATTGATGTTCGTATTTTTTCTCCTTTTTTGTGCGTGATTTTGTTGTGAATTGATAAGTAAATAGAATAATAGATAAAGGGTGAATAAATATATCTGTATATATATATTCCTTCTCTTCCTTCTTATCCTCCTCCTCCACCTCCTCCCTCCCACCTTCCCTCCACCTCCTCCTTCTGCTTCTCCTCTTCCTCCTCTTCCCCTCCTCCCTCCTCCTTCTCCCTCCTCCCCCCTTCCTTCCCCTTTCCCCCTCCCTCCTCCTCCCCTCCTCCTCCTCCTCCTCCTCCTCCTCCTCCCTCCTCCCCCTCCTCCTCTCCTCTCCATCCTATAACCTCCTCTCTCTTTAATTCCCAGAACTGCACACAATATATAGAGTACAACTTCCACAAGGTATGCCCGGACGAAACCTACGACTTGTACAAGTGGGCGTATGAGCATTTCGTCGACGCCCTCGAAAAATGCCCTGGGGTTGTGTCACCTGGGGGTACTGGGTACTTGGGGTACTGGGGTGGGGAAGGTAGGGGGGGGGGAGAGGGGTAGAGAGGAGAGGCGGGGGGGAGAGAAAATACATAGAGGACAGAAAGAGGGAGAGAGAGAGGCGGATACATGATAGAAAGAGCAGACGATACATGAGAGAGAGAGAGAGACGATAGGCAGACTAGAGAGAGAGAGATGAGGAGAGACATACATAGAAGAGAGAGAGAGAGGCAACACAACAGACAGACGGACGGGCAAAGAACACAAACGCCAGAACAGACAGAGAAAGAATTACTTAGAGAGAAAGACAAAGCGAAAACATCAAAGAGAAGCTTGTTCTCTTATTACTTTATTATCAATTTATACTTCTTATAATCATTATCTGTTCATTTATTATCTCAATTATATCTTATTCATAATCAAATCATTATTATTTTCTTATCATAGTCTTATCATCATAAGTTATACTTATCCTTATCATTCTGAAAGCATACACATTCCTATCATCAAATAATACTTATTCTTTCCATCATCGTCATCATACTTATCCATCCCATTATGAATCATTCACCTTATACTTATTCTTACCATCCATCCCATTATGAATCACCTTATACTTATTCTTACCATCATCGTCATCATACTTATCCATCCATTATGATCATTCACCTTATACTTATTCTTACCATCATCGTCATCATACTTATCCATCTCATTATGAATCATTCACCTTATACTTATTCTTACCATCATCCTTATCATACTTATCCATCCCATTATGAATCATTCACCTTATACTTATTCTTACCATCATCGTCATCATACTTATCCATCCCATTATGAATCATTCACCTTATACTTATTCTTACCATCATCGTCATCATACTTATCCATCCCATTATGAATCATTCACCTTATACTTATTCTTACCATCACATCATACTTATCCATCCCATTATGAATCATTCACCTTATACTTATTCTTACCATCATCCTTATCATACTTAACCTTATCGCCATAACTTCCTCACCTTCTTCAGAACGTCCAAGACGAGATCGCCGACATCAGGACAGAGACCTCGAAATGCAAGAACGAAGAACCCGGCCCGTACACGCCAGCGTTCGCGTACCACCAGAGGCACTTGGATGTGGACTGCAAGACGACCTTCGTTGACCTTGCCAAGGGGTTGTATCCGAATCAGACCTTTAACTTTTATCAGGTATGAGGGTGTGTGTGTGTGTTTGTTTGTTTTCTTTGATGAATGGTAGGTTATTGTTGTTGTTGTTGTTGTTATTGTTATTATTATTATTATTATATTATTATTATTAATCATCATTATCGTTATGTTATTATCATTATTATTTTCATTATTTCATTATTATTATTATTATTATTATTATTATTATTATTATTATTATTATTATTATCAATACTATTATCATTATCATTACTATTATTATTATTATCATCATCATTATTATTATCATTATTATTATTTTCCGTACCAATGCTAATTATCCTACTAGATCCACTATCTTTTTATCCTAATTATCCTACTAAATATATCCTAATTATGTCTCTTTTTTATCCTAATTATCCTACTATAATATGTATCCTAATTATCCTACTAAATCCATCACCTTTTTATCCTAATTATCCTACTAAATCCATCACCTTTTTATCCTAATTATCCTACTAAATCCATCACCTTTTTATCCTAATTATCCTACTAAATCCATCATCTTTTTATCCCTATCCATTTTTATCCTAATTATCCTACTAAATCCATCACCTTTTTATCCTAATTATCCTACTAAATCCATCACCTTTTTATCCTAATTATCCTACTAAATCTATTCTCTCTTTTATCCTTCTCTCGCTAGGCTATGCCCCAGGTGGGAGGAGGGGAGCGCCTCGTGGTGGGGAGGAACATAACACTGTCTTGCCTCTGTCCCATGAAGACTGCGACGCCCAACAACAACGACTATGTTATGTGTCTTCCCGATTTCACCTATTACTACCAGTCTTTCCTCGGATGCTGGGGTTAGTATGGGGTTGAGGGGGGAGGGAGGGAGGGAGGGAGGAGAGGGACGGTGGGAGGGAGGGAGGGAGGGAGAGGAGAGGGAGGGAGGGAGAAGGGAGAGAGAAGAGAGAGGTGTGTATGTGTGTGTAATGTACATATATATAATATATATATGTATATATATGTATATATATATATATTATATATATATATATATATATAATATATATATATATATATATATATATATATAGATATATATAGACATATACACACATATATATGTATATATACATATGTGTATGTGAAATTATATCTGTATATATATATATATATATATATATATATATTATATATATATATATATATATACATATATGTGTGTGTGTGTGTGTGTGTCTATATGTACATATCCATATATGTTAATTACTTAATTCATCCATTTACCAATTCACCAACCACTCCACCCACCAACCAACGCCCCCCCTCACCCCTCCTCTCCCCCGCCTTTGCAGACCGCGAATGCAACACAAGCCTCCTGCACCCCGTTCCTGCACTCGGGTCTTGGAACTGGCTAGGTGGGAGAGCTCTTACCAACACCAAGATCACTTACACCTGTAATACGTGGGCGCTCTTCAAGGTATTTATATTACTGAAGTTGGGGAAAAGGGATAAAGGGGAGGTTTTATGTGTGTTTTTTAAGGTGGTTTCTGTTGGTTGTGGGTAGGGTGGGCATTGAGTTTGTTAGTGTTGTATGGGTTGTAGATGAATGGGTAAGATAGGTTGTGGTTTATATAAATTCTGTTATAAGAAGTTGAGGAAGTTATAGGAGTTGTATTACACGAGTTGCAATTGGCAATAGGAAGTTTGTACGAGGTACTTTCCACATTACATCAGAATTTATAATTGGCACCATATGCTTTTTTTCCCAAGCTGTATTATCCTATTTACAATACACATCATGAAAACACTATATAGACATCCACGTTAAATTGCCGTTGTTCCATAACTTTAGCCAATCTGTTCATCATTTGGTTCAGAGATCGAGCTGGATCCAAGACCTCTAAGCCAGCCACGTTCCTTATGAGTAAAACGGTGTAACTATTCTTCACATTTCCAGGACCTGTGGATACCATCACTCACCACAAGGTGCAAATGTGATGAGACGTGGTCACTAGCTTCACTACCAGAATGTGGTAAGTGTTAATGCAGGAGAGAACATGTCACTCTGAGTTACTGATATGTGTATGTTAGTGTGTGTGTGTGTGTGTGTGTGTGTGTAAGTGGTTTGTGTGTGCCTGAGATAGAGAGAATGAAAGAGAGAGAGAGGGGGAGAAGGAAGGAGGGAGGGAGGAAGATAGTTCGAGATAGATAGATAGAAAGATTGAAAGAGAGAGAGAGAGAAGAGAGAGAGATAACGATACATAGAGAGGGAGAGAGAGATAGGGGGGGGAGGAAAAATAGATAGAGATAGATACATAGAGAGATAGACAGACAGATAGAGAAAGAGGGAGAAATAGAGAAGAAAACTTTCGTTACGATATTTACATACACAATCCTGCGTTTGCTTTCATTATTTCCTGTTCTGTTGTTGACGCAATTCCTTCATCTTTGTTCGCATTTTCCTGACTAAAGCGTTTTTCCTAATGTGTGTGTGTGTATTTGCGTGCGCAGGTAGGTGTGTGTGTGTATGAGAGAGAGAGGAGAGACTGACTGACATAGACAGAAAAATACAGAGGGAGAGAGAGACAGACAGACAGATAGGTAAATAGATAAATAGAGAGAGAGAGAGAGAGAGAGAGAGAGAGAGAGAGAGAGAGAGAGCCATAGGCAAAAAGGGAGAAAGAGAGAGAGAGAAAAAAAGTACTCGTCACAGAATATACACATATATCCCTGCGTTAACTTTCATTACTTCCGATTTTACAGGTACGACTTTACACGTGCCTTACTGTGCCTAAATCATTTCCTCCTCTGCAGTGAACGTCAGCACGACCCCTGTCCCCCCAACAACGACTACAACGATCTTCTCCACGACCTCTTCCACGATCTCAACGACTTCGACGACCACAATCGAACCGACGACGACCAACATCACATTCACCACCACGAACATCACCACCACCACGGATGACGTCACGGAAAGTACGACCAACACGACCTTCACCACGGATGACGTCACGGATAGTACGACCAACACGACCTTTACAACGAATAACGTCACAGCCACGACCACAGACACGACAGACATCACACAGACAACAGAAAAGGAAATTACAGGAACAGCTTCTGAAAGTAAGTTTAATTTTTTTCTCTCTCTCTTCACCTTGACCTAAAAGTAACGTTGATTGTATCATACTCTTCTGTAGATATATCATAATATTCTATTGATATATTTTGTTATTATAACGTATCATAATCTATTCTACTGCTCATATAACACCTGATATACTAATTTTCTTACTGATTAATTCAACTAATTACCTAATTAAGGATCTACTCATAAGCATTTCCTCATCTAATAATCTCATCTTTCTATCTATATTTTTCTTTATCTGGTTTACTGTTTATCATCCTCTTTCCTTTTCCTGATTCCCTGAGTGTTGTGGCTGCTTGTATCTCACGTTATGTATTGTATGAAATTTAAATAAATCTAATATATTCTTTTATTCATTATATGTGTGTGTGTGTGTATGTGTTATATATATAATATATATATTATATATATATATATATATATATATATATATATATATATATATATATATATTTGTGTGTGTGTGTGTGTGTGTATATATTTGTACAGTGTATATATACTCATATATGTGTGTATAGATGTATATATATAGTCATATATATGTGTTGTGTATAGATTATATATTTTATTTTTGCGAGTATATATATTTTTTTTCATTATATATATAACTATTATATAACGTCAGTGTTTATGCAAGTATATTCGCCTGCATATAAATATAGATAATCACTGAACACTATTCTGATCACAGTCTGTATTCTCCGAAAGCGACAGTGTGTGAAGGGCGTAGGGAACACAGGTGGATATGTTACGTAAATTAACCATATACGGATGGTGCGTTTTTCGTGGTGACTTGGGCAGAGGATACAGCACGAGGGGGTAGGGGTACCTGGCTGGTTCCTGGAATCTGCGGAGGCGAGGGTATAAATTGGGGAATCGTGTGGTTTCAAGCAGATTAGGGGTTTATAGATTATGGTGTGTTGTGTAAAAAAGGAGATGTATGAGATGAGATGAGTAGTTTAGTGGTTTTTGAGAATAATGCGTATTTGTTTAAAAAAGGTCCTTGTTATAACTACATAATAATAGTATGTGAATGAAGCTTGTAAAAAAAAGTATGTACGCCTTTATACTAAATCACAATTTATTGTAAAATGTATTTAAGATCCATACTCAAACTCCATTCTAAGCTAAAACACAACATTTAAAACCCCAGATTTTGGGCAAAAACCCAACAAATTTCAACAGTTACCCTTCGCCGAAACAGATCTTGACATTAACTCGACCGTGAAGGTGAAACCGAACAGGAAATAACCCGAAAGATGAACCCCTAAATTAAGAAAAAAAAAATGTTAACAGGCACCTCCGAGCGCATAGAAAACGGGCTGCGGGGAATGTGTTACTATGGAAGAAAACGAGAGTTGTGTAACCGGGTCGGGACAGCTTATGCAAATTCTAGTTAAAACCTGACTGCGAAATTGAAAGTGTTTTTCGCGCAGACTAAAATATTCAAGATTTTGTTGTTGTTGTTGTTGTTGTCGTTGTTTAGTGGATGGGAGGGTCATATGGGCCTTCAGAGATATCGAGCGAAATTGCGAGCTAGGTATATACTGGAAAAAGTAATAATGCAAGTTATGTATTCTCATATATTTAGACGATTTTTATAGGTATAAAACATTTGGCATATACAAAATGACCTTACACAGTTCGACATATTTATATAATTAAGTTTTTAAAAAATGAAATTCATTGACACATTTTGAGAAAAAAAAATCCTATCACTGAAAAAACGATAAAAAATAAACCCTTCCACATATATATGTAAACATTAGGAAAGAATATTTTCAATTTTCTTTCTGCTTGGCAACAGCTGCCAGATTATCCAGGCACAGACACGACCATTGCAGAATTTTATTAAGGATAGTAATGATAACGATAATAGTAATGGTATTGATAATGAGGATAAAAAATATGATAATATTGATAGTAGCATTAATGATAATGATAATATCAATAAGGATGGTAATCGTAATTTTTGTTATTATAATGATAATGATAATAACAATAACAATAATAGTAACAATGATGATAATTATAATGAAAAGACAACAATAATGTCAATGAAGATAATGATAAACACAATATTAACAATAATAATGATGACAATCATAATGATAATAGCAAAGGAAGAAAAGAAAAAATGCAAATAGTAATAATAATAATAATAATAATAATAATGATAATAAAAAAAAAATAATAATGATAATAGTAATAATAATGATAACAACAACAAGGATAATAATTATAGTAGAATCAAATAAATAAAAACATTCACACGAACGTTTATAAATACAAAACCTCTCCCACCCTGAGTTGCCAACTGCAATATTATTCCCGCTGAAGAAGCACTAGAGAAGCATCTCTTTAACCTTGGGATAGTAGTAGTGGCGATTATAGCTCGTTTTTCGCCCTGTTGCATGTAGATAAAGCGATTCTACACTTGTTGCATAGGGATTAGGTATATAGAAGACTTGTACGGAAACCTTTTAGGGGCGTTGTTGCCATATAAGGTGTGGATGGGGTCTTTGTTTTTTTGTTATCTTTTCTTTTCTTTGTGTATGTCTGTCTATCTGTTTGTTTTTCTATGGATTTGTCTGTTTTTCTTTGTCTCTCAGTCTCTGAAGGTCTGTCTGTTATCTGTTTATCTCTCTATCTATCTCTGTCTCTGTCTATCTATCTACTTATCTCTCTAACTCTTTCCGTCAACATATCTAACTATCACCTATAAATGCATTTACATCTGTAGCTCCATCGATACTCTTTCCATAAATTTCAGCACACACACACACACACACACACACACACACACACACACACACACACACACACACACACACACACACACACACACACACACACACACACACCACACAGATCCAACCCAGCCCTTCTCTCTCTCTTCTCTCTCTCTCTCTCTCTCTCTCTCTCTCTCTCTCTCTCCTCTCTCTCTCTCTCCTCTCTCCCTCTCTCTCTCTCTTCTCTCTCCCTCTCTCTCTCCTCCTCCCTTCTCTCTCCCCCTCTCCTCCTTCTCCCCTCTCCCCTCCACCTCCCCTAACGCTAACCTCCTCCTTCTCCCTCCCTCACACCTCCCTCCTCCTCCCTTCTCCCTCCCCCCCTCCCTCCTCCCCTCCCCTTTTCCCATCCCTCCTCCCCCAACACACAACGCTATAGCAAGTCCGGAAAACTCACCCGTGATATAAAGTCCCGATTTGACCTTGAAGTTGACCGGCCATTGTCAGGAAAGTAATTTTCATCCAAGTGGTATTATGCCTTTGTTGTTCTCTGATTGCGGTGCGTGTTCGTCTTCCTATCTTTCCCCTTTTTTTTCCTCCTCCTCCTTCTCTTACTCCTCCTCCCTCCCTTCCCCTCAATTACATCACAGTTCTTATAGTTTTTTCCTCCTCTTCTCCTATTCTTTCGTCCCCTCTCTTTTTAGTTCTTCTTCTTCTTCTTCTTTTTCTTTTTCTTCTTCTTCTTTTTTGTTTTTCTCCTTCTTTCTCCTCCTCCGCTTCATCTTCTTCCTCCTCCTCCTCCTCCTCTTCCTCATCTTCCTCCTTCTCCTGCTCCTCCTTCCTCTTTTCTTGCTCCTCCTCCTCATCTTCCTCTTCTTCTTCTCCTCCTCCTCCTCCTCCTCTCCTTTCTCCTCTTCCTCTTCCTCCTCCCCCACCCTTCACAATCTTCCTACCCCCTCCCTCCCCCTTCCTTGCATGGGTTCCAGTCAAGTGTAAAAAAAATAACACATTGAGTTTCCAGACACCGCCAGATAGAGAGATAGTAGGAATATATTGGCATTTACGTTATATATTCGTAAAGTTAGCGTTTTTCATAATACTATTACTATCGTCACTTCACATTCTAGAACATTCTTTCGATAAGAGAAGTCAGTGTTTTAAAGAATTACATTTAACGTAGTAAACAGTATTTTAAAGCATCTTAAATTCACAAGATTTTATTACTATACATTTTTTATACATTATCCTTCTGAAGTGAAATTAGTGTTGTGAATAAACATATTTATGTAACGTAAGCTGTTTTTATTATTTTTATTTATTATTTTTTTTGTTTTTTGTTTGTTTTATTTGTATTTTTTATCTTACACTTAGAATAAATAATAATAATCACCTAAATAAAATTTCACCTAGAATAAATAAAGTAAAAGATTTCTTTCCAGCAATTTATTAACTTCAATGCAAACTTTATTGTTTGAATGTGAAGCAATATATTTTTTCAAATCTTTACGTTTTTTTTGTTTTTTTGTTTTTATCTCACATGAGATTTTTTTTATCTCCATAATTGAAACTGATCTTATAAATAATTGTATTTATGTAAAGTAATCGATGGTGTTTATTTAGGTATCACAGATCTTATTATCAATTTATAAACATCTAGACCACAGTCACCGTTACTAATAATCATACTTCAGTAATGTAATTTAAAGTGTCTAAAGATATTTATGTAATGATAGCTACAGCGTTTAATCAAGTATCGTAGATCGTAGATCATCCTTTTCTGTATTTCTGTAACGTAATATAAAGCTTTTATTTAGGTATCGTAGACTTTATCATTATTCTTATCATGTAGACCACCCTTCCATAATGTAAGATAAAGCGTTTTTTTTTTCAAATATGGTAGATTTTGTTATATGCATGTATTTTTAGCTTTTTTTCTATAACGCAAGCTCAAGCGGTTTTATATATGTATCCTAGATTTTGGTATATACATATATTTATAGCATTTAGACCACCTTTCTATAATGCAAGTTCAATCTTTTTCTTTCTTTCTTTCTTTCTTTCTTTTTCAAATATCGTAGATTTTGTTTTATAGATATAGTTTTAGCAGCTAGATCATCCTTCTATAATGGAAGCCAAAACGATTTTTAATTTCAAATATCGTAGATTTTGTCATATACATATATATTTTAGCATCTTGACCACCCTTCTCAAATGCAAGCTAAACGTTTTTATTTTAAATATCGTAGATTTTTTATATACATATATTTTTAGCCTCTAGACCAAATGCAAGCTAAAAG